TCCAATTAGTTCTACTTGAACAACAACGAACTCTACCGCCTCGACTACAAACTTCTCCCTTGGTCGAAACTCCACGTCTTCCAATTCAAAGAAAACCCCCTAGAATGTTGGTGTGATCTCTACAACATCACCACCCAGCTTTCTGCTAATATAATGCGCGAGGAAGACGAACCATATTGTGAAGATCCTAGAAATGGACGTAGTATTCGTGTGTTCTCCTTGAAAAGCGACATTTGTTCGTACAAAGTAAGGATTTTAAGACGGTAGTGTCACGATTTAAATTTTTGCCTTTTCAGCGAGAATTATCCTCACATAGAGATCATATTCAGTATCATTTCTCTATGGTCACTGTCTTGATCGCTGGTATTTTGGCGGTCATCTTGGGTCTCGTGCGGTATAAGAAGTATAGAAGAGAGTCGAATGATCCATATGCCTCTCAGATTGCTTACAATCCTGTATCCACCAAAGTACTGAAGAAAGGCTACATCTGAGGTGTTACCTTAATTCTATTTTTTTTTTAATTTTCGTTTTTGATAAAATAAATTTTTATAAATGAAATGCACTCGATTTTTTCTTTGCAACAGAAAATGACAATAATTTTTTGCCTTGTCTATCTTTTTCTTTGAAAAGTATTGTAATCGAGACACTTTCATGTTTTCTCGACGTTTCATGAACTCGAGAGTACGAAAATGTGTTTCCTGTTTTAGTCTGTCCGGATTTTTATTAAATATGTGTTATTTAAATGTTAAAAAGTAACATAGTGCTAAACATGTGGTTCATCAATCCGGGTTGAATTTTGAACCTAGACATCGAGATGTTTCGAAAAAAAAAAAAAATCAAAATTGTGGATATGTATAATAATAACTTTTCGATTTCTCAAGTTTTCGAATTTTCGATTTTTCAACTTTAATCAATTTTTCAGTTTTGAGATTTTTCGGTATTTCAGTGTTCAGTAATAATTTTTCGATTTCTCAATTTTCTGATGCTTCAGTTTTACGATTTTTCAATTTTTTGATTTTTTAACGTTTCGACTTCCAAATTTTTTAATTTTCCATTTGTATAATTTTCAACGTTTAGATTCCTCGACCTCCTCAATTCTTCGATTTATCAGTTTCGCGCTTTTGAATATTTCGATCGTTCAATTTCTCGATTTTTCGATTTGGGTTTTTTCGATTTCTTGATTATTTGAAGTTTCAATTTTTCGATTGTCCAATTTTTCAATTTTTTAATTTCAATTTTTCGACTTTTTGGTTTTAAAATTTTCAGTTTTTAATGTTTTTTAAATTTTTTATTTTTCAATTTTTCAATTTCTCGATGTATCAGTTTTTCAATTTTTCGATTTTTAAACTTTTCGATTTTTTTTATTCGATTTCTTGCCATCTCGGTTTTTCGATTTAAACAATTTTTGTCGATTTCCCGATTTTTCAATTTTTTTATTTTTAAATTTTTCGATTTTTCATTTTTTTAAATTTTGACGTTTCAAATCTGTGATTTCTCGATTAATCGATTTTTTGACGTTCCGACTTTTCCGATTTTTTGATTTTTCCATTTATAGATTTCCCAATATTTCGATTCTTCAGTATTTCGACATTTCAATTTTTCAAATTTTAGATTTTTCGATTCCTTCATTTTTCAACTTTTCAGTTAATTTCTCGGTTTTTTATTTTTCAATTTTTCAATTTATCAATTCTTTTTCATTTTCTGATGTTTCAGTTTTACGGTTTTTCAATTTTTTGATGTTTCAAATTCCCGATTCTTCAAATTTTACATCCTTAAATTTTTCAATATTTGATTTTTTTAATTTTTAGAATACTAGAATTTTGGATATCTCGATTTTTCAGTTTTTTTGTTTTTATTACCACTTCTTTCGATTTTCCGGTTCTTACAACTTTTCAATTTGTTTAAATTTTATTTATTTTTCGATTGTTTGACATCTCGATTTTCTAATGTTTCGATTTTTTTTTTCGACTTTTAAACTTTTCGGTTTTTTCATTCGATTTCTTGACATCTCGTTTTATTGATTTCAATAATTTTTTGACTTCGAATTTTCGATTTGTCAATTTTCTGATGTTTAAGTTTTAAGATTTTTTAATTATAGGCTTCTTAAATTTTTTCATTTTTCAATTTTTAAAATTTTGACGTTTCCAAATTTTCGATTTTTCGATTAATGGCTTTTTCGATTTTTTGATTTCCCCATTTATAGTACTATAGTATATAGATCTTTGAATGTTTAGATGTCTCGATTGCTTGATTTTTTAGTTTTTCAATTCTTCAATTTTTCAGGTTTGTGATTTTTTAATTTTTCGACATTTCAATTTTTCAATTTTTAAAATTTTAGATTTTTTGATGTTTCGATTTTGATTTTTAAATTTTTTTAGTTTTTCTATTTTTAAACTTTTTAATTCCTCGATTTTTCGATTTTGGACCATTTCCATTTACAATTTTTCGATTTTTTGACTTCTAGACTATTCGATTTGCTGATTGTATAATTTTTCGATGTTTCAGTTTTTGGATTTTTTAATTTTTCAATTTTCAAACTTGTCGATTTTATGACATCTCGGTTTTTTCGACATTGAATTTTCGATTTCTCAATTTGCTGATGTTCAAGTTCTTTTTAAATTTTTCGATTTCTCAATTAATCGATTTTTTGACGATTCGATCTTTCAATGTCTAGATTTTTTGATATTTCGATTTTTTAGTTTTTCAATTTTTTAGGCTTGTGCTTTTAAATTTTTCCATATTTCACTTTTGGGATTTCTCAATAATTCGATTTTTCGAGTTCTTCATTTTTCAACTTCTCGGTTAGATTTTTCGGTTTTTTTATTCTACAATTTTTCGATTTGACTTTTCTCGATTTATCAATCCTTTGATGTTTCGATTTTTCGATTGTCCAATGTTTCATACTTGATCTTTCAATTTTTCGATTCTTAAAATTTTAGATTTTTCGATTTTTTGATTTTTTATCGATTTCTTGATGTTTAAGATTTTTCAATTTTGACGTTTCTAAATCTCGATTGATTTTTTTTTGACGTTCCGGCTTTCCCGATTTTTTGGTTTTTCCATTTATAGCTTTTTCAGGTTTTTGGTTTTTCACTTTTTCGATATTTCAGTTTTGGGTTTTTTAATTCTTCAATTTCGATTTCTCGACTTTTCATTTTTTTTATTTCGATTTTTCGGTTCTTAAATTTGAAGTTTTTCGATTTCTGGATGTTCAAGTTTTTTGATGTTTCGATTTTTCGACTTCTTGGTTTTAGATTTTCCATCTTTTTTTAATTTTTCGAATTTTTGACATCTCGACTATTCGATTTCTCCGATCTTCTAATGTTTCGATTTTTTTTCGAATTTCCGATTGTTCAATTTTTCCGATCTTTCAGTTTTTGCATTTGCTAATTTTTCGACTTTTAAACTTTTCCAGTTTTTGATTCGACTTCTTACATCTCGGTTTTTTGATTTAAACAAATTTTCGATGTCAATTTTCTGATGTTTAAGGTTTAAGATTTTTTAATTTTTCGTTTCTTAATTATTTCGATTTTTCAATTTTTTTAATTTTTGACGTTTCTAAATTTTCGATTTTTTGATTAGTCGATTTTTTCACGATTCGACTTTCCGATCTTTTTTATTTTCCCATTTATAGTTTAGACCTCTCAATGTTTAGATTTCTGGATTTTTTGATTTTTTAGTTTTTCAATTCTTCAATTTTTCAGGTTTGTGAGTTTTAAATTTTTCCACATTTCCCTTTTGGAATTTCTCAATAATTCGATTTTTCAGTTTGTCGACAATTTTTCAATTTTTAAAATTTTAGATTTTTCGAGTTCTTGATTTTCCAACTTCTCGGTTCAATTTTCGAATTTTATTTTTTCGTTTTGAGGTTTCTCGATTTCTCAATCATTTGATGTTTCGATTTTTCTATTGTCCAATTTACCATTGTCGATACTTCAATTTTTCGACTTCTTGGCGTTAGATTTTTATTTATTTTTTTTAACTTTTCAATTTTTAATTTTTCGATATTGGGTTATTTCCATTTCCAATTTTTTGACTTCTCGAATATTCGATTTCTCGATCTTCAAATGTTTCGATCTCTTTCTTTTTCGATTTTGGGATTGTCGAATTTTTCAGTTTTGAATTTTTCAATTTTTCTATTTTTAAACTTTTCGGTTTTTTAATTCGATTTCTTGATATTTCCGTTCTTTTTATTCGATTTCTTGACATCTCGGCTTTTGGATTTAAATAATTTTTCGACTTCGAATACTCAATTCGTCAATTTTCTGATGTTTAAGTTGTAAGATTTTTCACTTTTTCGATTCTTAAATTTTTCGGTTTCTCGATTCATTGATTTTTTGACGATTCGTCTTTTCAATTTTTTTATTTTCCCATTTATAATATAGACCTTTGATTGTTTAGATTTCTGGATTTTTCGATTTATAGTTTTTCAATTTTTTAGGCTTGTGATTTTTCAATTTTGGGATTTCTCAATATTTCGATTCCTTAGCTTCTCGACATTTTAATTTTTCAATTTTCAAAATTTTAGATTTTTCGTTTTTTTTTTTATTCTTCAATTTTTCGATTCGGTTTTTCTCAATTTCTCAATCATTTGGTGTTTCGATTTTTTGACTTCTCAATGTTCCAATATTTCGATTTAAATAATTTTCCGGCTTCGAACTTTCGATTTGTCAATTTTCTAATGTTTAAGTTTCAAGATGTTTCAATTTTTCGATTCCTAAATTTTTTGATTTTTCAATTTTTTAATATTTGACGATTGTAAATTTTCGATTTTTCGATTATACGATTTTCCGATATTTTAACTGTTTGAATTTTCAAATTTTTGATTTTTCAGATTTTTTATTATTCCATGTTCAAAATTTCAATTTTGGGAATTTTTCAATTTCTGGGTTGTTCAATTTTTTTACACTTTAATTTTATCGATTTTTTGATATTTTAATTGTTCAATACCAGATGGAAAGATTGATAAGAAAATCCCGCCACTGGGCTAAATTAACATTTTGGTTACAAATTTTCTGAACCTACTTTTCACCTCGACATAAAGTAGAGTTGGCAACAACGCACAACTTTGTCACAATCAGATAAAACTTTTCCCCGCAACAAACATAATTCACACTTATCTACGATAACACAAATGATATGAAATCGCCTATGTCTGTGTATTACGAACCGTAATCGCATCCCAGAGCAGGTTAAAAATGGTGAGTACACTCCCTAAAATAACTCAAATAAAAAAAAACTTTTCCAGCTGTTGTTCCATCTGTTCTTCTATATCCTCGTAACCTCAGCGGAAGAAACCTACGAAAATTCAACTGACATCTGCAAACGATGCTCCTGCAACGACGCCCAAATTTTCGAACTAGACTGTAGCAACCACAACATAACTTTAATGCTGGCAAATTGGCCAACCCAGAAACCCATCAAGGCTACCTTCACAGGAAACAACTTCACCAAGCTCGAAAAACTCCCCCCCACTGAGTCTTTCGTGGAAATCGTCCTCTCAAAATGCAACATCCAGTCTCTGGATTCTGCCGTTTTTGATACCGCTACTAAGACGAAATTGGTGGATTTGAGCTACAACCTTCTGCTTTCCGAAGAAGTGACTTCTGATAAGTTTCGGGGACCAATCAAGGACAATCGACCACAACCAATAGGCATCGAGGATTTGAATTTGGCCTATAATCAAATCCACTCTTTGAACAAAGACGTGTTCGAGTTCTTGCCGAATTTGACACGGTTGAATTTGGAAGGGAACGACTTTAGAGTGTTGGATGCTCATACTCAGTTGGCTCTAGCGAACGTTCCAGAGCTCACGGTAGGCTTAGATGTCGTCAGTGTGTGGATGTCGTTTTTGATTTGATTTGTAGAGTCTCAATTTGGCGAACAATGAATTGACGGAGTTGATTCCTGACGCTATCGAGAAGCTAACGAAATTAGTGGTGTTGGACTTGTCGAAGAACGATTTGGATTTTGTTCCCTACAGTTTGGAGAAGGTGGGGACGAGTCTCGAAGTGCTGATTGTGGACGACAACCCGATTTTTGAAATGGCAGAAAACACATTTTCGAGTAAGTGTGTTACTAAAGCGAAAATTTGGACACCACAAGTGTGACTCTTTCAGAACTGCCCAACATCGTCGAAATCTCCGCCAACAACCTCACCCAACTCACCCATATCAACGCGAGCACGTTTGCCTCAAACCTCAAACTAACCAAATTGAGTCTGCGCAACAACGTCGCCCTCCAAGCCATCGACCCGGCTGCCTTCTCACCTCAATCAACCCTCAAAGAGGTAGTGCCTTACACCAAACCGACAACCTCAAACAGACTCAATTTCAGCTCCACCTGGACAACACCAACCTCACCGGCCTGCCGCTTTCTCTCCTCAACTGGACATCCCTCGACAGCCTCACTCTACAGGGTGCACCCCTCACGTGCAACTGCGACCTCTTCCGCATCTCCGCCTCGCTGCCTCATACCGCCAACAACAACGAAGACGGGCCGATCTGTACCGACCCCCTCACCTCAAACCGCAACCACATCCTTTTTTTCAGTAGCGACATCTGTGAGGCAAAAAAACCTATTAACAAAACAAAAGAAGATCCTGATAGTATTTGCACATCCTGTGGTTGTTGGACAAGCGAGGATGACCTAGTTATGAACATAAACTGCGCCAACAAGAATTTGGAACATGTAGGGGGTTATTGGGAAGTCAAAAAGGAAACGAAATTTGTGAAGATCAGTTTCGCCGGGAATGAGATGCCAACCTTGGAAGCTTTGCCTCAGACCGACGCCGTGGTCGAGATTGTCTTGACTAGGTGCAACATCAGGTATCTCAGGCCGAGTTTGTTCGCTGACACTCCAAATGTGAAGTTTGTGGATTTGAGCTACAACGCTCTGCCAGGTGGGTGTTTAGTATATTTACTTAGCTTATGTTCTCCCGTTTCGGTCTGTCTGTCTGCCTACTGTGTGTATTAATTTTTATTAGACACATAAACTCCCAAACTACTGGACCGATTGTTGTCAAATTTTGTATGTGTATTATGATTTAATTTTATACAATACTTCTGCACTTGTAGTGTATGAATCCGGGTTCAGTCTTCACATCAAAATCAAAATTATATAAAATTTGGAATTTATCGTAATCGTGTTATCTCGTTAACTGATGACGTCAACGTGAAATATACAAATATTATGATATTATATTTCTGGTTTATCAATGCACTCATAGTTTTTTGAATTACTTGTACAGATGATTCAAAAAAATTAATGAATGAGGCAGTTTACTGTATTGATTAAATTAGGAACAGATTTTAACTTATAAGGCTTATCATAAAAAAAATCGTTAAATCAATTCTTACAAATTTTCGAAAAATCTGCAGCAATTTTTTTTCTGTAGTTTTTCAATTTTTAATTTTTCGATTTTTCAATTCAAGTTTTCAAGTTCATACATTTTCGTTTTTTTCTTTCCCATATTTTTTCAACGTTTCTTTTGACATAATTTTCTGTTTACTCAATTTTTCAATGCCTCGATTTTAATTTCTTTCAATTTTCAATACTTTGATTTTGCACTTTTTCGATTTTTAAGTTTCGAAATTTTTATCTTTCGAATTTACATTTTTTTTCTTCAATTTTTCAAATTCTTGATTTCCAGTATTTGGATTTTTGAAAGTTTTTATCAAATACTTTTGGTTATTTCATTTTGATTTTTCAATTTTTCCATTTTTGTTATTCGAAAAGTTGAAAAATCGAAAAACTCAAAAATCGGAAAAATGGAAAATCAAAATTACAAAACGAAAAACTAAAGACACCAAAAACTAAAGCATTGAAAAACAAAAAATTGAAAAATCTAAAATTGAAAAAACGAAAAATTGAAAAATCATGAAATTGACAAATCTAAAACTGAAAAAACGAAAAATTAAAAGGTGCAAAGTTCAAAAATAAAATCCCTAAATTGAAACACCGGAAAATTGAAAAGACAAAGAAAATAAAAGACGAAAACGAAAAATTGCAAATCGAAAAACTGAAGAAATGAAAAATTGAAAAATCGGAAAATTGAAAACGCGTGAAATTGCAAATCTAAAACTGGAATCATGCGAAAGTTGGAAAATCAACTTCTGAATTTTCCGATTTTTCAATTCTTCGACTTTTTTATTTCAATGGTTCATTTTTCGAATTTTTTAATTTTAGTTTCTTGATTTTTTTTATTTTTCGATGTTTCAACTTCTCGATTTTTCTATTTTTCGATATTTTAATTGTTTAATTTTTTTAGTTCATCAATGTTTCTATTCCATTTTTATTTTGATAACGATTTTTTGATGTTTCGATTTTTTGGCATGTCCGTTTTGCGATTTTTCAATTTTTAGATGTCTGGAATTTTCAAGTTTTTGATTTCACAATTTTTGATCATTTATTTTCAATTTGGGAATTTTTTAATATTATAATTTTTCGATTTTTTGATGTTTCGATTGCTCGATCTTTCTATTTTTCGGTTTTTCGGATTTAGATTTTTAGGTGTTCAAGTTTTACAATTTTTCCATTTTTTATTCGAAAATTTGAAAAATCGAAAAACTAAAAAGTCGAAAAAATGGTAAAATAGAAAAAGTGAAAAAACGAAAAATTGCAACATCGGAAAAGTGGAAAATCGAAAAATTGCAAAACTGGAAATTGAAGAGACGAAAACCTGAAACATTGAAAAACTAAAAAGAGAAACTTAAAAATCGAAAAAAAATCAAATAAACAAAAGTTTTAAAATACATTAATTGAAAAACGGAAAAAGTCTAAAATGGTAAAATTGAAAAAGTGAAACATTTTTTAAATTATAGTTATTACTACATACTTAAAATGAAAACTAGAACTGAAGAAATGAAAAACTGAAAAATCGTGAAACTGAAAATTTTCACCCTAAAAGAAAAAAGTTAAATAACAAAGAATATAAAAAACTAAAACGAATAATTGAAGACATAAAAAATTGAAAACTCCTGAAATTACAAATTGAAAATTGTATTGTATAAAATCTGAAAACTGAAACAATCAAAAGTTGTTAAATTAGAAAACTAAAAAATTTAAAATGAAAACTCGAAATTGGAAAAACAAAACTTATAAAATCGGAACACTGAAAAATCGAAAATTTGAAGAAATTAAAAATTAAAACATCGAATAAATGAAAAAGTTATAAAAACCAATCAAATAAAAAAAATCTTAAATCGTAAAAATTTGAAATTTAAAAAAATCATAATTGTTATATATTTATAATGAAAACTTGAAAAATTGCAATCAAAAATTGAAGAAAACAGTAACTGAAAAATCATGAAATTGAAAAAAAAAAATTTAAAAGTCCAAAATTCAAAAATCGAAAAACTGAAACACCGAAAAATTGAAAAAACCAAGAAGATAAAAGACCAAAACGAAAAATTGCCAATCGAAAATTTGAAACATCCAAAAGTTGGAAAATCGACTTCTGGGTTTGTCGATTTTTCAGGTCTTCGATATTTCTATTTCAATTTTTTATTTTTCGAATTTTTATATTTTAGATTTTTTAGTTTTTTGATGTTTCGATTCTTCGACTCCTCAGTTGTTCGACTTTTCGATGTTTCAATTTTTTTTATTTTTCGATATTTTAATTGTTTGATTTTCTTTTATTTCATATATTTTTCCAGTTCATCATGTTTTTATTCCATTTTTATTTTAAAAAAGGTTTTTTTTGATCTTTAGAAATCTGCAATTTTCAAATTTTTGAATTTTTCAATTCTGCAATTTTTCGATTTTTTGATGTTTCGAATGCTGGATCTTTCTATTTTTCGACTTTTCGGATTTAGATTTTTAGGTTTTTCAATTTCACAATTTTTCCATTTTTTTTTCGAAAATTTCAAAAATCGAAAAAATGGTAAAAGAGAAAAACTGAAAAAACGAAAACTTGATACTTTGAAAAACTAAAAAGAGAAACTTAAAAATCGAAAAAAAGTTGAAATAACAGAAAAAGTTTAAAAATCCATTAATTGAAAAATAGAAAAAATCTAAAAATTGAAAATGTGAAAATTTTTAAAAATTATAATGATTACTACATACATAAAATAAAAACTAGAACTGAAGAAATGAAAAACTGAAAAATCGTGAAACTGAAAATCCAACACTGGAAAATCGAAACATTCAAAAGGCAAGTTCAAAAATCGAAAAACTGAAAACTCGTGAAATTGTAAATTGAAAAATTAAAATATTCAAAATTTGGAAAATCGAAACACTGAAAAAATTAAGAATGACGAGTTGCTGCATAGCGTAAAATTGAAGAAACGAAAAATTGAAAATTTGTAAAAATAAAGAAAATAAAATATTTGAAGAAATAAGGAATTAAAGAATACAAAAATTGCTAAATCTAAAAATTGAAGAAACGAAAAATTGAAAAAACCAAAAGCTATCGAAGCGTTAAAAAATCGAACCATTGAAGAAATAAAGAAAACAAAAATTAAAAATTGAAAAACTGGAAAATTTAAGTTTGCCAGCAAAAACAAAAAAAAATTGAAGAATTGGAAAATTAAATTTTTATAACTTGCAGCGAAAGAACTCTCCTCTGAAAACTTCAGAGGTCCCTTCAACAACACCTTCGCCTTGGAACACCTCGACCTCTCCTACAACCAAATCCACACCCTAGTCAACAACCTGTTCGAGCACATGCCCAACATAAAAATCCTCAACCTGGAAGGCAACGACTTCAAAGTTTTGGACATCCAGACGCAACTGGCTCTATCGTCGATACGACGCTTACAAGTAAGCAAAAACTGTCCAGGTTTGAAAAACCTAATCACATTTTGACAGGACCTAAACCTGGCCAACAACGAACTCACTGAAATGATAGTCGGAGCTATCGACGGACACGAGAACCTAACTCATCTCGACTTGTCCAGGAACTTGTTGGATTTCGTTCCACCTAGTTTGGCACACATCGGGAAAAGTTTGGAAATTTTGAACGTGGACGGAAATCCAATCATCGAGTTCGTGTCGGAAACGTTTCGCGGTTTGTGGAACATCACCGAACTGTCCGCGAACAACCTAACCATGCTTAAGTACATCAACGCGACCACTTTTGCAGCCATGCCGAAACTGAAGAAGCTGAGTCTTTCGAATAACACCCTTTTGGTAGATATTGACAGAGAAGCTTTTGGCGTCAACCAAACATTGGAAGAGGTAAATAGTCGATTTTTGTGGCGCAATTTTAATTTTTTCTCGAACTAGCTCTACTTGAACAACGATGCACTCTACCACCTCGACTACAAACTTCTCCCATGGTCACAACTCCACATTTTTGAATTCAAAGACAACCCTTTGAAATGTTCGTGTGATCTTTACAACATCACCACCCAACTTGCTGCTGATATAATGCGCGAGAAAGATGGTCCACATTGCGAAGATCCAAGAACCGAAAACATCATTCCAGTGTTCAAGTTGGAAAGCGACATCTGTTTGGAGAATGTAAGATTTTAATTTGTTAATGTCACGACTTGAGTTTTTGTCATTTCAGCTGCCACTGCCTTCACACAAAAATCACCTGGAACATCATTTATCCACAGTGAGGGTAGTCATCATAGTGATGTGTGTCACTGCTTCGATTGCTGCCATTTTGGTTGCCATCTTGGGTTTCGTGCGGTATAAGAGGTACAGAAGAGAGACGAGTTATCCGTACGCATCTCAGATTGCTTATAATCCTATATCTAGTACATCAAGGTATTAACATGTAAACTATTAAGTGTATTCTAAACACAATTTTAAATTTAATTATTTAATAAAGTCTCTACTAAGGTAAGTACATTCATTTTTACTTCCCGAGCGTACGCTAAAGATGTCCATCGATCGAGTGGCTACTTCCATGTTTTCATATTTCAATTTTTCGACACTTCAATTTTCCAATGTCGACTTTTTCGATTTTTAAATTTCAAATATTTGAACTTTTTGATATTTCGGTTTTTCAATTTTTTGTTAATTTTAATTAGTCAATTTTTAGATTTTTCGATTTTATATTTTTTAGTTTTTTGATGTTTCGATTTTTCGATTTTTCAGTTCTTCGATGTTTCTATTCTTTTTCTATTTAAATGGGAATTGTTGAATTTTTTTATTTTTAAAATTTTTAATGTTAATTTTTCGATTTTTCAACTTTTCGATTCTTAAAATTTTTTGATTTCTCAATTTCTCGTTTTAGCGATATTCCGATGCACTTTTCCCCGGTGGTTATTTGCTCGCAGAATTTTTCGAATTTTGTGATTTCTTGATTAATCGCGATTTCGATTTATGCATTTTTTTATTTTTCGATTTGTCGGTTTTCCGATTTTTCAGTTTTTCGATTTCTCAATTTTTCAGTACTTCGATGTCTCTATTGTATTTCTATTTTGGGAATTCTTCAATTCTTTGACTTTTAATTTTTTAATTTTAATTTTTCAATTTTATGATGTTTTGATTGTTCGATCGTCGTATTTTTGGACTTTCGCAAATTTTTTTTTTGGTTTTCGATTTGTAAAATTTTTTATTTCTCAAAATCTCGATTTTCCGCTGTTTCAATTTTTCGATTGTTTGATTTTTCAGTTTTTTGAATTTTCGATAAGCACTTTTTTCCGTTAGTTATGTGCTTTTTTGATTGCTCGATTTTTCGATATTTCAGTTTTTGAATTTTTCTATTTCGATTCTTCAATTTTTCCGTATTTCTATTTTTCAATTTTTCGAATTTTTAACTATAATTTTTTAATTTTCCGAATTTTTGAGCATTTGTTCCATTGGTTATTTGCTTGTATAATTTTTCCAATTTTTATTAGATTTTAGTTTTTTTTATTTTTTTGATACGTTTTTTTCGACTTTTAAAATAAATTGTTGATGTTTCGATATTTCTTGATTATCGAGAATTCGATACTTCAATTTTTTGGTTGCTCGATTTCTCGATTTTTTTAATTGATTTTTCTATTTTCCGATGTTTTGATTTTTAAAATTTTCCTATTTCCCAATTTTTAAATATTTAATTTTTCGATTTTCCGATTCTTAAATTTTTTGAATTGTGGATTTACGATTTCTCGATTTTTTTCGACATTCTAATTTTAATTTTTTTTTTTGTAATTTTATATTTTTCGATTTATGCATTTTTTTATTTTTCAACTTCTCGATGTTCCAGTTTTTGAATTTTTCGTTGTTTCTATTTTTCGATTTGTCGGTTTTCCGATTTTCAGTTTTTCGATTTCTCAATTTTTCAGTACTTCGATGTTTCTATTGTATTTCTATTTTAATAACGATAATTAAATTTTTAATTTTGATTTTTAGATTTCTCGAATTTTCAGCTTTTCAATTTATCAATTTTTCATCATTTCAATGTTGGGAATTTTTCAATTTTTTGAATGTTCGATCGTTGTATTTTTCGACTTTCGCATTTAATTTTTTTTGGTTTTCGATTTATCAGCTTTTCGATTTGTAAAATTTGTTATTTCTCAAAATTTCGATTTTCCGCTGTTTCAATTTTTCGATTGATTGATTTTTCAGTTTATTGAATTTTCAATAAGCACTTTTTTCCGTTGGTTATGTGCTTTTACACTTTTTCGATTTTTGACTTCTTGGTTTTAGATTTTTCAATTTTTCACTTTTTCGAATTTTCAGTTTTTTGATTTTCGATTAATCGAGAAATGGATGTTTCGATTTTTTTATTGTTCGATTTCTCTGACTTCTTTACACCTCTTCTCTTTTCGCTTTCTTAATTTTTCGTTGTTTCGATTCTTCGATTTCTCGGTTTTTCGAATTTTCAATTTTTCGTTATTTCAGTTTTGGAATTCAATTTTTCGATTTTTCAATATTTTGAAGTGTGGATTTTGAACTTTTCGATATTTCTATTTTTCACTTTTTCGAATTTTTTAATACATAATTTATTAATTTTTCGATTTTTAAAATCTTCTTTCTCAATTTCCGGATTTATCGATATTCCAATATTTCAATTTTTCGATTTTTCAACATTTCCATTGTTTGATTTTTTAGTTTTTCGAATTTTCGATAAGCATTTTTTCCGTTGGGTATCTGCTTTTTACAATTTTTCAACCTTTCGAATTTCCACTTCTCGATTTTGGATTTCCCGATTTTTCAATTTTTTTATTTCTCGATTGATAGAGAAATTGTTTTTTTTATTGTTCGATTTGTCGATGTTTTTTTTATTTTCTCTACTTTTTGGTTTCTCAATCTTTTGATGTTTCGATTTCACGATGTTCAAGTTTTTGAATTTTTCGTTGTTTCGATTCTTCTATTTCTTGGTTCTTCGATTTTTTGACTTTTCGGCTTTCCGATTTTTCAATTTTTCGTCATTTCAGTTTTGGAATTGTGGATTTTCAACTTTTCCATATTTCTATTCTTAAATTTTTAGAATTTTTAAACACATACATATGTGTGTATATATAATTTTTTAATTTTTCAATTTTTAAATTTTATTTCCTCAATTTCTCGATTTGTCGATATTACGATATTTCAATTTTTCGATTTTTCAGCTTTTTGAATTTTTGAGAAACATTTTTTTTTGTTGGTTATTTGCTTTTTTAATTTTTTCAATTTTTAGATTTTAGATTTTTTTGTTTTTTCGACTTTTAAAATTGTTGATGGTTCGATTTTTCGATTTCTTGACTATCGACAACTCGATATTTCAATTTTTTGATTGCTCGATTTTTCGATATTTCAGTATTTGAATTTTTCTATTTCGATTCTTCAATTTTTCCGTATTTCTATTTTTCGATTTTTCGAATTTTTAACTATAATTTTTCAATTTTCCGAATTTTTGAGCATTTGTTCCATTGGTTATTTGCTTGTTTAATTTTTCCAATTTTTATTTAGTTTTTTTATTTTTTATCGAGAATTCGATACTTCAATTTCTTGGTTGCTTGATTTCTCGATTTTTTTAATTGATTTTTCTATTTTCCGATGTTTTGATTTTTAAAATTTTCCTATTTCACAATTTTTAAATATTTAATTTTTCGATTTTCCGATTTCTCGATTTTCTCGACATTCTAATTTAAATTTTTTTTTTAATTTTATATTTTTCGATTTCTCTATTTTTCAGTTGTTCGACATTTTTATTTTTCAATTTTTCGAATTTTTCAGTGTTTATCTAATTTTTCGTTTTATTCACTTTTTCGATTTCTAAAATTATTCGACTTTTCGATTATTAGTTATTACATTACTCGATTTTCGATTTCACAATTTTTCATCGTTTCAATTTTGAGAATTTTTCGATTTTTCGATGTTTCGGATTTCGATTTTTTCAGTTTTAGACTTTTAAAATTTCCTGATTTGTCAGTTTCTCAATTTATCGACATTCCTATGTGCGATTTTTCGATTGTTCGATTTCTTGATATTTCGATATTTCCCGTTGGTTAACTGCTGTAAATATATGTCATATTGTCCGTACTTGTACGGACGATATTTGTTGAGGAGCACTTCAGGGGCAAGGGAAGTTCTCTCGAAATAACCTTCGACCAATTTTATTCTAAAATAAATAACTCAGAATTTGACAGTCTTTTTGATTTTGTCAGTTTCCAAACTGATATTGTCAAATTCTGTGTTATAAGACGCCACATCAACAGTAGACGAGAAAGTTGGCAACACTGTATTTTAACCTCGCCGTAATCAGATAAAACCCTACTCATCCACGATAATAAAAATAATGAAATGATATCATAGTGTGTTTATTACCAATCGTAATGGCATCCAGAAACAGATCAAAAACGGTGAGTACACGCCCTAAAAAAGTCCGTTTCGAAAAAACCTTTCCAGCTATTTTTGCACCTTCTCTTCTACATGGCCTCAACCTCAGCAGAAGAAACCTACGAAAATTCAACCAACATCTGTCAACGATGCTCCTGCAACGACGCCCAAATTTTCGAACTGGACTGCAGCAACCAATCGTTAACATTAATGTTAGCAAACTGGCCAACCCAGAAACCCATCAGAGCTACCTTCACAGGAAACAACTTCACTAAGCTCGAAAAACTCCCCCCCACTGAGTCTTCCGTGGAAATCGTCCTCTCAAAATGCAACATCCAGTCTCTGGATCCTGCCGTTTTTAATACCGCTACTAAGACGAAATTGGTGGATTTGAGCTACAACCTTCTGGTTTCCGAGGAAGTGACTTCTGATAAGTTTCGGGGACCAATCAAGGACAGTCGATCACAACCAATAGGCATCGAGGATTTGAATTTGGCCTATAACCAAATTCACTCTTTGAACAAAGACGTGTTCGAGTTCTTGCCGAATTTGACAAGGTTGAATTTGGAAGGGAACGACTTTAGAGTGTTGGATGCTCATACTCAGTTGGCTTTAGCGAACGTTCCAGGGCTCACGGTAGGCTTTGATGTCGTCGGTGTGTGGATGTCGTTTTTGATTTGATTTGTAGAGTCTCAATTTGGCGAACAATGAATTGACGGACTTGATTCCTGACGCTATCGAGAAGCTAACGAAATTAGTGGAGTTGGACTTGTCGAAGAACGATTTGGATTTTGTTCCTTACAGTTTGGAGGAGGTGGGGACGAGTCTCGAAGTGCTGATTGTGGATGATAACCCGATTTTTGAAATGACGGAAAAGACATTTTCGAGTAAGTGAGTGACTAGGGCGAAAATTTGGACACCCAAGTGTGACTCTTTCAGAACTGCCCAACATCGTCGAAATCTCCGCTAACAACCTCACCCTACTCACCCGGATCAACGCGAGCACGTTTGCCTCAAACCTCAAACTAACCAAATTGAGTTTGCGCAACAACACCGCTCTTCACGCCATCGATCCGGCCGCCTTCTCCCCTCAATCAACTCTCAAAGAGCTCCACCTAGACAACGCGAACCTCACCGATCTCCCTGTCGGTCTTCTCAACTGGACATCGCTTGACAGCCTCACTTTACACGGCACGAACCTCACGTGCACCTGCGACCTCCACCACATCTTCGCCGCCACCCCCAACGAAGACCCGCCCACCTGTGCAGACCCCTCGTCTCCTGCACGCCACCACATCCCGCTCACCAGCGACGTCTGCGAGGTCAAAGTATGCACACTTATATATATACTTCGAGCGAAAGCGATTCTTAATACCGATTCTCTGTTAGCAGATCGTCCGGATTCGCTACCAGCACATTTCCATACCTCTCGCCGGGTTGATCGTGACCCTGTTCGTCGCCATCTTGGCGGCCATTGCGATGGCGTACAGCAGGTATAGGAGGTTCGTGCAGCAGAGCAGGCAGACACCGTTTGCGTCACAGGTGATGTACAGCCCGCTGTTGGCCGCGTACTCGAGATAGAGAAAGTGATTTACTAACCTCTGTTGTGCCCGCCAACTGTTTCGTATACGCGAGGAATTGGTTGAGGAGGTCTTCGGCTTTCCGGGCGACCTCTCTGAACTTGTATAGGGCTTCGAGCTGCTCGCTGCATTTCACGCAGATGACGCGAGGCAGAGGGTCGCTGTTGGCAACCTGGAAAAGAGGGACGTGTTAGTGACTTTTGTGTGGTATTGATGTTTTGTGATTTATTTATCTTATTGTTGTTGTTGTTGTTGTTATTGTTGCTATGTTAGAAATAATGTGTTAAGAAGTCGAAAACTATAGGGTAGAAATCGTCGCATGACATTGTTGTGATCTAGTAATCGTGTATTAATGCATCAGTACCTAACTATACCTAATTGTATTAAGAATTATAAAGCTAATACTAGTAATACTTCAAAAGAAATTTGTTTTGTTATACTCTTAACTCACTTGACATACACCTAGCAAAATTTTACAACTCCATATGTCAACTGAGTTAAGTATATACCAATGTGATTGACCTAGGAACTTTTTTTTGAAGCTAAAGACGGATCGGTGGGAAAATCTGCGAATTTTATTTATATCCTTCACGAGTTAAAATAATCAGCTGTTGACAGGTGTCTTAAAAAAGTCCACCATAAATATCGAGCAAACCACGATAAATGAGCACAACTAGAACAGTTTAAAGTCGAAAGTCTGACGTGCGTCTGTTTGTAATTTAAAAACAAATACGCAATTTTTTAGCGTCATCAGCAATAACGGTACTCGCGAATAAATACGTTGCAGATGTGATAACTTAGAAAATCATAATTGTAATTTTATTCATTCGTGTTTTGCATTCTTCAAATAGCTTCTTCAATTTTTTTACGCGATGTTTCTTCGTGTAAAACGCAGTTGTACTTACGTGGGTTGAAAATAAAATTTTTCATTATGCATAAAATGATACAAAGCGATATACAGGGTGATTCTTATTATTTGCAAAAAACTTAAGGAGTGTTTTCCTCGCATAAAAATATAAGTTTGAAAAAACTCTTTTTTTTTGCGTTGTTGATTTAATCAATAAAATATAGCTCTTCTTCCATTCATTTTTTGAGACATCTTGTATAAGTAAAACTAAAAAATATAAATGCACTGACAAACACTGTAGACTCATACTCGGTTTTAAAATTTCTGAATGAAACGGACGAATTTTGTTTTTTAATATTTTTTCCAAAATTCGAAATCTCACAGAGGTGAAAAACAAGGAAGTGCGAGTGTTTTTATAATAAAATGATGTGGTCCAATTTTCAAAAATAACAAGGAAAAAAGGCCAAAGTTCTAAAAAAAAGGTGCCAAAAGATCTGACTAAAAAACGACAAAAAAACGAGAAATACCGGCAATTAAAAAGGGGTCAAAAAAACGGAAAAAGGACGCAAAATAGTCTCAAAATTCTGACAAAAAAATATGCGACAATAAAACAATAAACGGGCCAAAACGAAAAAAAAAACAAAAAAGCCAAAAAGGCGTTTGAAACGACCCAAAAAAAATCGGTAAAAAACCAACAACAAAAATTGGTCGAAAGTTATTTCGACAGAATTTCCCTGAAGTATATAAAATTATAAAATTTGATTTTGCGTTTTAAGAGCGAAAAAATCGAAACAAAAAAAGGGACTAAAAATGGAAAAACAGACAAAAAAGGCGTTAAAAATGCCGTAAAAATATGGACAAAAAGGCAATGCAAACAGTAACAAATAAGCCAACGATAAAAACATCAAAATTGTAACCAAAAAAAAAAATACAAAAAATCTACAATAAAAGAAAGCGAAATAAAGCGGTAAAAAAAGTTGCAAAAAAGGTGGTTTACTATGTGTATACGATAACCTTAAAATATTTGCAAAATACAGAGCGTTCGGGTTTAAAGTTCCTAAATAATGGTGGAATGTTATTGTTGTTTTAATAGTTTTTCCAAAAATCGAAAGGTCAAAGTTAAAAAACAAAGAACAGCAGCGTATGTTCCAAGTGAGTTTTTGATAGTAAAATGGATAAAAAAAATGCCAAAAAAGGGACCAAAAACACGAAAAAAAATCTACAAAAATGTCTACAAAAAATTGACTTAAAAAAAAAGCAAAAAGGTGAAAAAAGCAAATAAAAAGGGGCAAAAAGAACCGAAACGAGACACAAAAAGGCTTCAGAATCCAGATAATCGTGACAACAAAGTCACCGAAAAATATGCAATCAAAAAGTCAACAAAAAAAATCGCCACAAAAAGTGGGTCAGAAAACTGGTGCCAAAAAATATTACAAAACCATCAATAAACGAAGCAAAAAACGCGCAAAAACCCGTAAAAAATGCGAGAAAAAGAGCAAAAAAGCGTAAAAACTCCATAAATAATGCGACAAAAAAAGAAGCAAAAACGAAGAAACAAAGAAACAAAAAGTGGTAGACACAAAAAAGTTGTTAGAAAAGTGGTCAAAAAAAAAGCGATAAAAAAGAGATTAAAAACGCACAAAGACGACAAAAAATGATAAAAAAGCGCCAAAAAAATGAGAACAAGAATGCAACAACAAAAATAAGGAAGCGAAAAAAAGCAATAAAAATCACAAACAAGCTGATTTACCATGTATACGATAACCTTAAAACATTTACAAAAATACAGAGTATTCGATTTTAAAGTTCCTAAATAATGGTAGAATGTTGTTGTTTTAAAATTTTTTCCAAAAATCTAAACGTCAAAATTTAAAAAATAAAGAATAGCGTATGTTTCAAGTGAGGTTTTGATAACAAAATGACGTGATCAAAAGATAAGAAAATTGCCAAAAAAGGACCAAAAATACGAAAAAAAATTTTACAAAAAAATCGATAAAAAATTGGCTTTAAAAAAAGCCGCAAAAAAGGTGAGAAAAGGGCCAAAAGGGCAAAAAACAGAAAAGGTCCATAAAAAGGCTTCAGAATTCCGATAAAAGTGGCAAAAACGGCTACCGCAAAATGTGCAATCAAAATCACCAAAAAAATCGCCACAAAAATGACAAAAAGGGAAGTCAGAAAAATGCTGTCAAACAGAGCAACGAAACCAGCGATAAAGCAACAAAAAAGCGTACAAAAAAGAAGAAAATGACAAAAAAAAAAACGTTTAAAATCGTTAGAAAAAAAAATGTGGCAAAGAGCAAAAAAACGTAAAAACACCATAAATAATGCGACAAAAAAATGAGTTAAAACGAAGAAAAGAAAACAAAAAGTGGTACAAAAAAAGTTGACAAAAAGTCAGCCAAAAAAGCGATAAAAACAGACTAAAAATGAAAACAAAATGCAACAAAAAAATCTACAAAAAAAAAAGGAAGCAAAAAAAGCGATAAAAATCGCAAAAAGCTGGTTTACCATGTATACGATAACCTTAAAACATTTACAAAAATACAGAGCATTCGATATTAAAGTTCCTAAATAATGGTAGAATGTTGTTTTGTGGTTTTAATATTTTTTCCAAAAATCTAAACATCAAAATTAAAAAATAAAGAATAAACAGCGATGTTCCAAGTGAGTTTTTGATAATAAAATGACGTGGTCAAAAGATAAGAAAAATGCTAAGAAAAGACCAAAAATACAAAAAAAATTCTACACAAAAACCAACAAAAAAATTGACTTTAAAAAAGGCCGCAAAAAAGATGAGAAAAGGCAATTAAAAAGAGGCAAAAAAAACAGAAAAGGTCCATAAAAAGGCTTCAGAATTCAGATAAAAATGACAAAAATGGCCACCGAAAAATATACAATCAAAAAACAACAAAAAAATTACAAAAAGGGGAGTCAGAAAAATGCTGCCAAAAAAAGCAACAAAACCAGCCATAAATGGAGCAAAAAGCGCACCAAAAAAGAAAAAAGTGTTTAAGAACGCTGAGAGCAAAAAAACCCGTAAAAACTCCATAAATAATGCGACAAAAAAAGAAGTAGACAAAAAATACTGCTAAAAAAGACGAAAAAATGAGATAAAAAAGTATTTAAAAAAACGCACAAAGTCGACAAAAAAAAAACAAAAAAAGGGAACCAAAAAAGGGGTGAAAAGATAAACAACACGTTAAGCATGCAACAGAAAAGAAAAAAAACGGAATTAACAAAAAAAAAACAATAAAAAAAGGGTCCAAAAAAGGCCACAAAAAAAGTAATTTATCATGTTTAAGATAACTTTAACACATGTGTAAGAATTCCCAGCATTCGATTTAAAAATGAAATGGTAGAATGTTGTTTTGTTGTTTATTTCAAAAAGCTAAATGTTAAAGTAAAATAGGACAAGGAAAATGTCAAAAAAGGTGTTGGCAAAAAACGGCAAATATAGAATTCCTAAAAAGGTGACATAAAATGGCCTCAGAATTAAGAAAAAGAAAGCTATAAAAAAAGTGGTTAAAACGCCACAGAAAAAAGCGAGAAAAAAACAACAAAAAAAGAAGAGTCAAAAAACGGCGAAAATGCGATAAAACGGAGGCAAAAAAAGACAAAAAAGTGAAAAAGGCGAGATAAAAAAGTAACAAGAAAGATTGAAAAGATCGAAAACAGCGATAAAAATGTCAAAATGCGTCAAAAAAGACGATCAAAAAATTCGGGAAAAAAATGCGGCAACAAGGGGGTCAATAAAACAAAAAAAATTGACTTTAAAAAGAGGCCGCAAAAAAAGATGAGAAAAGGCAATGAAAAAGAGGCAAAAAAACAGAAAAGGTCCATAAAAAGGCTTCAGAATTCAGATAAAAGTGACAAAAATGGCAACCGAAAAATATGTGTACAATCAAAAATCAACAAAAAAATCGCCACAAAGAAATTACAAAAAGGGGAGTCAGAAAAATGCTGCCAAAAAAAGCAACAAAACCAGCTATAAATGGAGCAAAAAACGCACCAAAAAAGAAAAAACACGGACCAAAAAAAAGTGTTTAAGAACGCTGAGAACAAAAAAAAACCGTAAAAACTCCATAAATAATGCGACAAAAAAAGAAGTAAAGACAAAAAATATTGCTAAAAAAAAGACGAAAAAATGCGATAAAAAAGTATTAAAAAAACCGCACAAAGTCGACAAAAAAAAAACAAAAAAAGGGAATCAAAAAAGGAGTGAAAAGAGATAAGCAACACGTTAAGCATGCAACAGAAAAAAAAAACGGAATTAACAACAATAAAAAAAGGGTCCAAAAAAAGGCCACAAAAAACTAATTTATCATGTTTAAGATAACTTTGACACATGTGCAAGAATTCCCAGCATTCGATTTAAAAATGAAATAGTAGAATGTTGTTTTGTTGTTTATTTCAAAAAGCTAAATGTTAAAGTAAAATAGGACAAGGAAAATGTCAAAAAAGGTGCCAAAAAATGCGAAAAAAAATCTGGAAAAACAACGTGGCAAAAACTTGCCTAAAACTGCCAAAAAGGTTGGCAAAAAACGGCAAATATAGAATTCCCAAA